CCTATAATTCGTGATACTACAGAAGCTAAATAAGAAAGTGAACCCAAAGAAAACATATATTTATCCTCCTGGATATTGGAAAGACAAGATCGCATGGCAAATGTGGGGAGCACAGAGGTGGTTGGAAGGAAGGGGTGATGTGGAGAGAGAATGAATTGGGTATCTTAAAGGTAGAGTGGGTAGTAGTTTTTCATGTCTTATCTGAATACGTAGGTTTATGGAATAGCTCTAGGCATTCTCACAGTTACTCTCTATACTAAGATAACAATTGTTTCTAAGATTTACAGAAGCCAAAGTCCATAGAAAAATGAGACTTAAGCTGAGGGATCCAAGCCTGATACATAAATGTAATTTAAGGAAAAGGAGAACTGCCAAATCCAAATCTATCAATTCATTTCTTGGTGGGAGAAATTAGGAATTCCATTTATGAGATCTATGTGATGGATGTTTTTACACCCAGGGAAAACTAATTTGAATTTTGCACATCCTAACAAATTGGAGGATCATATTTACATTTGTATATAACACTTATATGTCGTAGATATTAATGGTGACAATACATCAGAACTATACATCCTGCAGAAGACCATGCCTTTATAAAGCTTAGTCTGTAATTAGCTTTGACTTTCTCAGAATAGATGACAATGAAATTTGCAAATCTTCATTATCTTTTGTATCACTGCAAGGCTTTTTTAATTTTTTAAAATTTTATATGCATTGGTATTTTACTATGAGTTACCTTCTCTTCACATCACTGAGCTATTTCCAATCTAGTTTAAGAAATAATATTTCTGGTGAGTTTCTGCTGATGCACAATTATTTAGGTATGAGAATATATGATTAGGAATCAGATTATTTCTATGTGATTCTAAAAGAAATAAAAAAATTCGGTATGGTTTTATAATCAATTTAGTCTCATTTTTTAGTCTATTAAAGACATGTGTGGTGTTCTTTCCAAACCAGGCTCTTAATCATAATCCTCAGAGTTACTTCATTTCACCCATGTATTTTGGGGCACTTTGATAAAAAAAAAAAATCTGATTGTTCTTGATTCTTGCTATTGTGCCATGTTGCACATGAGAGGGAGAAATTTTGTTCCTTCTAAATGAAGCCATAACATGCAGATTAAATTTCAGTCATATCTCATGTATTCTATTCCTGTGAAGCTTCTAATAGCAATAGAGGGATTTTTGTTCTTTGAGAACATAATTGTGTAGGAACATCAAAAATAGATGATTTTCATCATATTGGGACATGCAATTATAATTTTGAAATGTTCTTTTAGCTTGAGTGTGGAATTATAAGATGTCTGTGTCCAAGAAGCACATCTGATAAAAATGTATTGATACCTATGTTAAAATATTCTATTTTTTTATAATAAAGGGGGTTATAATTTCATATTATCTCACAAATTGTACTGTTACATTTTCATTTCCATTCCTATATATATGTTTATGTATGGCATATGCATATATGAGCTTCTTCATATATATACACACATATATATATAGGTATAATTGCTTTATATAGTTTAGAATTTCTTGTGTAAGTGCAGTATTTATATTACTTTGCAATTCTTCCTCCTACTGTATTCTTTACTAATACAGATATTCAGTGAAATATCTGCATTAGAAAATGTCAAGATAAATAAAATAAGTAGGACTTTTTATATTATTGTACATATGCAAATATCATAAACTGTATAAAGAATGTGATGATTATATGTAACCATTTTAGCTTATAATTTTGAAGTTTAAAACTATCAATATTATTTTACAGTAAAAGCTGATCTTTTGTGTTTATGCATGAAATTATTGTCCATGACATTTTTGCCATGTGTGAGAATTTGAGAGGGTTTCTCATCTTTGACAGCATTACAATTTCTGATGTCATTTTGCTTACACTATTTTTGTTTTTAATTGCTTTTTTTACTTTTTAGTTGGAGTTATTATTTTCTAAACTTATTTTTTTAATATACTCTCCTGATTGAGAGGTGATGTATGCTGTGAGTTGGTTTGATTGCCATTGGCTAATTAACAAGATGCCTTCAACCAATGCCTTTACAAAGTATAGCCAGGCTGAAAGAAATAAATAGAGAGAGTAGACAGATTCTGGGAGAATACATGTAGCTATTGCTGAGGCTGATGCCTCCAATGGTGCCTTCCCAAACTGTGCCATTAAGTTATGTAGTAATGAACAGATTTGTGAATATTGGTTAGTTTAGGAGTAAGCAGCTAGGTAAAACACACTTAGGGAAAAAATTGGCCAAATAGTACTGCAAATAATATAGTTTCTTAGTTATTATTTCATGTCAGGGCAGCTATGAAATGAACCAGCAGTGTTGTCAACTATATCCATGTAAAATCTGAGAAATCATAAAAAGAAATGCTAGACACAGAAGGACAGAGTTAAGCATAGCTTTTTGGCATTATTTTCTTGGGAGGAATCTGATTGCTAGTATCAAGCTGAGGCATTATTTTTATTTTCAGACAGGACTTCCTGACTCAGTGGAAGCCACAAAATCTTCAAAACTCAGTTAAGAAAGCTCCCTGGTTCACGCTAGTTGCAGGATTAACTAAGATACTTTCGGGTGGTGCGGCTGCAGAACATTTAACTGGGGGTTGTGATCAGAAAACTACAACTTACTTAACTGCAATACAGTCGTGGGGAGACCTTGGATGAGACCCAAGCTTGGACCTGGGTCGGAGAGAAATGCTCTCAGAGGTAGTAAACATGCCTTCACCATGATGGACTAAGTGGAACTGACAGGCATGATGGCAGAGTTATTCCTAGCCATTCCTGCTCAGCATTTAAAAAATGCTTCTGGTCAGAAAATAGTTATAGCTATAAAATAAACAACTGGTTGCAAAAATATAAAACAAAATCTTTAAACAGACAAAGTATAGATAATTATAGATAAAATGAGTAAAAAAATAAGTCATGTATAGATGGAAAATACACACAAAAACGGGGTGATGTACATTATTGTCTTTATTTTTGACTGTTGTTGCATGGAGAGTTGGATCTTTTGTTCCACCCGGCCATCCTCCAGCTTTCACTTGAAATAATCACACAGAAACTGTGTCCTTTACAACACTGCCTGGCACATTAGCTCTAACTTCTTATTCGCTAGCTTTACATGTTAGTTTAAACCATTTCCATTAAATCTGTGTATTGCCACGTGACTGTGACTTACCAGCAAGATTCTACCCAGCATTGTCTCAGGCAGGAGATCCATGGCAGCTCTCATTCTTTCCCCAAAATTCAGTTCAGTCTATTCCATGCCTACCTAAGTTCTGTCCTATCAACTATACCAAGGCAGTTTATTAGTTCATTACCAATGAAAGCAACACAAAAACAGAAAGAACTCCCACACCAGACTGTAAATGAGTTAAGTACAGAGGGATATTTCATAGTATGTGGTGCTAATCTAAACCAGCATATATGTTTTAAAGATATCTAGACTTCACAATTTAGTTCTAGTTGTATATTATATTTGTATATAATTCATTCTATCATATTATATGTAACATTTAATTATAATTTGACTGCATATAAACTACACATATAAACCGGCAAAAACCAATTATAAAAAATCAGCAAATAAGATGCATTGGCAGCCCAGATTCGCAATCAAAAATCTCCAAACATGAATGAAGGCTTGCATGTATATAGGTATATTCAAGGCAAAAGCAGCTGCTGGCTCATTCCCACTGTCACATTGCCAGGTTTGTAGGCATTTAACCGGAGGTAAAACCCGGTTTAAAGTCCCCCGTCATTTTCTCTGCTTCTTTAGACAACACAGGGAGAGGAGGGAGACACAGGTGACTCATCAACTTTGGATGAAATCACCATGTTACATGCAGTCCTGTGCTTTCCGGTCCATGGTTTGAGATCTCTCTTCTCATTGGTTCCAAGATAGCATAAAAAGGTCTGCACTGAGTGATTTTGCCAGTGGGGCTTTGACTAACGTCCTGCTAAAAGCTGGACGTTAGTCAAAGCCTCACTGTAAACAACCCCAGAGGAAAAAAAAATGTGTCGCAGAGACCTGCAGGATACAGAAGCAATAGGGAAAGCGAGGAATTTGTGCTATTCCCCATGTTCTCACGAAGAGTCACCTGTTTCCCTTCGCAGTACAGGAAATGTGCTCGAGTCTAACGACACTTCTCAGCTATGAAATCTGTGATTCCTAGGTGAGCCCTAGCTTTCGTATTTTCTAAAATGAAGATTTTCTTAAAAATTCTATACTCGAAAAAAATAAAAATAAAAACGGGTTTTACTCTTCTGATGCGTCTTTGGAGGCCACTCTAAGATAATTGCTATGTTGGCAAATAGCCTTAGATACCTGGGAATATGAAAATTTCAAGTGTCTAATTGCCCCATCAGTACGCTTAGGGACTCTGACACAGCATTTCTGAGTGTGATACCAGGAAGCTGCAATCGGCAGCACAGAATCACAATCAGCCATAAGCGGGAGAAACGGAAATTTACAGGTAGATAGGTCGGATACAGACACAAGAAGTCAGATATATGATCACATCTTGGTTAATTCACAATGATTTCCCCTTTTTGATAATTGGATTCTGGTCCTAAGTAAACTAAATTTTTCCCAGTTATCCATTTTATTTCATTTTTTTTTTTTTCTGTCAGAGGAAACATTGAGGTTGGGGGAGAAATGAGTCAGCAGCTGTGATAGATATCTCCAAGGTAACCACAGGCTTTGTTCCTATTGGTGGAATTGAGATCACACTCCTCATTGTTCAGGGAAAAATTTGAATGCACACTCTCCTTCAGCCCGCGGCAAGAAGAGCTAATAATATCATCAGCATAGCAGCTCCTTCCTAGTCAGCCTCTGGGAATATGCTAGCTCTCAGCTACAAATGTTTATAACTGAAACCGGAAGGTACATTGGCCCAGACCCAGCAGACTGCCCGTGACATCTTAATGAGAAAACGCCCAGGGAAATTAGCAGTCTGGTAATGGTTTATTCCCACTATTACCTTTCTGAATCATCATGTCCATCCCCGTTTCTGAAACTTTTCCTTCTCTTTAATCTTGTGGTACCACTGTCTCTGTCTTGAAACACTGCAGTATCTGCAAAAAATTTTTCAATTCAGGTTTCAATATCTGACAGCATCAAGGGGAGTCATGAACTTTACTCTATTCACGGAGTTTCATTGTAAAAATTGGTTGGCAATGCAGTTTTTTTTATATACAAAATCTTAGACTCATTGAAAATATCATGTAGTAATATATGAAAGCACTTCTGTATCTGTCATTAAAGACTCTGAATTTAAATGAGGTTTCGAAGAGGAAACATACTTCTTACAATCCTATTGCATTTTAGGTTTTCACATGCTCAAATTTGTTGTTGGTTAAAATAGTCTTTGTGTTTTTTAATATAAATACTCATGTACATAAATCTTTCATACTGTATGCCCATTCTTAATTAGGAAATCTGACAGCCTGAGGTTTTTTGGAAATCATGTGTTTATTGATGGTGGCAGGTAGGTATTACATACTTCCCATGAAAATAATTAACACAATAGATTTCTATGTTATTGTGTCTTGTTGTTGTATGCTTTGAACAAGTGCAGATCTTCTCTTGTAGCTTCCATAGCAGACTCTAAATCTGTATGTCTGCTAGTAACGTTGAGACTCGAAAACATTGGTACTTTAAATGAAGAACCGCCATTTCCATCTGTCACAATATTTCTGCCATCTTTAAAATATAAATGCACGAAGGTTTCAAATAGTTTTATGGGCAAAAACATTAAAACATTGTAACACAAAGCCTGTTATTTTCTATAGAAAGCTCTTTCCTGCTCATGTTATTTTCCTACTACTGCCAAAGATCATCTCTGATGAGTGTCAAATTATGCTCAGATGTATGAACTTATATATATATTTCATTAGACTATGGAAGAATAAAATATATTATATTTATGAAAGTCTGTCACCATTGTAGTCATAGATTCCTAGCCATTAAGGCTGTTTGAGTTATGCCTTACATCATGTAGTCTTATTAACACTATTTATTTGATTTCTGTCCTGATTTTTTGGCTATTATGACAAAAATACTTCTGAAGATTTCTCACTATTTTCTCTTTTTGCCTGTAGCTAATGAGAGGATTTATCTGCAATAATTGCACAAGTAGTCAATCACACTTAAATTCCTCATAATAGAGATGTATTAACATTCTATAATGATGAAACTATGTAGAAACTTCCAAAGCAGGTTTTCCACTGTATTGGCATTGTAAGCATATTTTCAAATTGGTCTGGAATGTCTAGTTTTGCAACTACAGCCATGACTTTGGCCAATAACCAAATGAAGTATCATACTAATGGATCTGAGTGAGAAATAGCTGATATGCCTCACAGTTTAAGAAGTTCAGTTTTCCTTCCATAGACAACTGTTCTATGTTCAAATAGCTGTCCGTGTCCTTCCTTATTGAAGATTTTCTTTGTTACCCTTTTATCAAGAGTCTTTTAAATACCATTATTTCCGATATCACTAAGACATTTTCAAGTTTATTTCCCATTAATATTATCTAAGATTTCCACATCATAATAATTGTTCCTTTAATGCCCATATAATAAGTGATTTTGTTAAAAATTTGAGTAGAATTTTGGTATTAATAATATATTGTTTAAACACTGGCCAGAGAGACATACATATATATCAATTTAGAGATATAGAACTGGAAAAATAAAACTATATATGTATATGTATATGAATATGAATATGTACATATATATGCAAAGGCATATAATTATTATAAAGTCTGAGTTTCAATTAAAAACTCTGGACAAAAATGTAGCATGTTCTTGTACAAAAATGTAGCATGTGTTAGCCATTTCAATTATATACGGAATAAAGCATTCTGAAAGTCAAATAAAATAAGAAAAAAAATTCAGTTTTACAATCTCTCTCCTAATACACTCTGAAGCACCTCAATTACTTTCCAATATTCATATAAGCTTATATGTATACATGTATGACATTTACATATTCATACATACATATGCATGTATGTGTATCCTTTCTTAATATAGTTTAGAATTTTATACATGAGCACTGCATTTATCTTATTTTATACTCAATTCTACTTCTTTCTTTAAAAATATATCTGTACGAAAATTGATAGAATGAATCTCTCTATTTGATAAAATTTGCACTGGTCCATAGGTAAATCAAGTGATACTCTAGAAGGGGAGTGAGAATGGGATGGGACAAGAGACACAACAGATGGAGACAAGACAGGATTCCGATAAAGTCTTGTTTAGTCAAGGAAACAATCAAGGCAAATATAAGGTAAAGAAAAAGAGGAAATACTCCTTGTACATGGGTAACTAGGTGACTTATTGGCAACCTAACCATGATCTAATGGTCAGGCTTAAAATTCTAATAACCTAACTCAAAATATAGAACAGTCAGAATGTTTAGAACACGGGAACACTGGATCAATAACTTCTTTCAGAGTTTGTATTTGACAGATTGAAACAAGCACAAAAGGGTAGGAGAAAAAGTTTCAGGTGCAGTGAGTCTCCCACAGGATCCCGTTTTAATTTTTATTAATTTTTAGAAAGCCGAAAGTCACTTGAGGGGACTGTCCCTAACTTAGGTTGGGGGAAGCTCCTGTAGTCCCATCCTTAGTCATCATAGGAAGACAGAACTGCATTTAATTCTTTTGCCGTCTTAGGTGGCATTCTTAACATAGGTGTACATCCTCCTGTTACCCTGTCTCCCTAACCGGCCCATCACACCAGGTTTAAAGACAATTTTATGTGTACCTCATGTGTGCATGATCTTACCAGTTAAATATTGTCATTTTTTTATTGTTGGTGATGTCTAATTATGATAACGGACCTGTATAGTTTTTATTTTCTTGTATAGTTTATATGTTAGTTGCCTTATACACCTGTTGTTTTATAAGTGCCATCAACTTAAAAAAAAAGTTCCTTGCAAAACCAAAATTATTAAGCAATGCAAGATGCTAACAAGGGAAGATGGTAGGGGGCACATTGCTAATGTCTCCATGGCATTCATAAGGAGGGCAAAATAAAGCTTCTAGAAGGTGTTTGCGTATTTTCCAAATTAAATAAAAATACAATGAAATAAAGCAAAAGTATACAGAAACAAAGTACTTGTAAAACTATACCTGGTAATGCATGATAAGGTTACTCCTTATTTCGGGTACAGCTTCTGACAGAAAGTTTGAGAAATGGGCAGAGAAACTATGCTTTCATCTATGCTTGGTCTGCCAAGCACCTGTTTCCCAACTTTGTCTCATCTTCCCAGGAGGAGCCCAAGAATAACCCAAGTAACATGCAGCCAAATAGGTGTATGCTGTTGTAATATCATAAGTGATTTATTATGAGGATTAAACTTATCAGAGGAATTAATGCATAAATACAATTGACAATCACCAATTAATTTCAGTTGTAAAATCGATTCTTAAAAAAAAAAAAAAAAAGGTAGTGTCACACAAGCAGTAAAATTAGTACTTCCAAATAAGGGAATTTTGTAAGTAGAAGCAGATACTACTATAGCAATAAATGAGCCATTTAAAAGCTGAATAGGTTTTAAGGGAGCCACAATCTTCTGAATTGCTGTAGGGGCAGTGAATAAGGCAATGAGATTATCAATGATTCTTCCATCTCTTCATGCCAGAAGATGTATTCCAGTTATCATTTCTCTCTTGGCTCAATTCAACCTGGTAACATTAAGCAAATCACAAGTGGTAATATTTCATTCATAACAATTTTATTAAAGTGACCATAAGTGCCCTAATGGATCTGTTTATTTTGAATTATTGTGCCAAATTTTCCTAAACAATTTGTTCAAATTAATGGCTGATATTTTAAACCATAATAAGTAAAATCTGGACACCGAGGTGATGATAATTCATAATTTTGAATAGTTTTGTCCAGGTCTGATTTATGGTCCATGCGGACCATCTTTGATAATGAGTGCGAGATCTACATATTTTAATACCAGGTTGTAACCCATGTTGTAATCCCACTGATAAACAAGGACAATTTTCAAAGCTTATTGGCTTTCTATCATCCATTTAAATAAAATTATAATAGGTCCTATCAAAATTTTCAGATATGTCAAGTCATTCCAAGGAGGAGAGAGAATACCTACAGTGATGTACACTAAAACATCAGTGTCTCCCCAAAAGAGAGGATGGAACGTAGGTGTTAAGGGACATAAGTACAATAACTTACAGCTGATTCCTGAACAGAAGGGACAATTTACAGAGCACATATGGCCAGAAAAATTATTTGACTGTAACCGGTCTTTTGGATTGCTGGACAATAATCTGACCACAGGGCACAAGAGATTTCACTTGACCCCAAGTTGATGATTATGGTGAAGGCTAATGTGGTCGAGGTCACTTCCTTGAGTATAATTTTACCATGGCCAATATTGGAATTTCTTTTTCAGGAGCCATAATTGTCACTCATCCTGCAGAGAGACAATACCATACCCTCTCCCTTTCTCCATTAGCAATGCAGGCTGTTGTTCAGTATCTATGGCAATTTTTCTGCTAGTTCAAAATTTGGTGTATAAGAAAATATTTGTCTACTCTAGTTAGAATATCCCTTTGGGGCAGATTTACAAAATTAAATATGTATTAATGATAAGTTTCCCTAATTCTTACCAATATGTCACATTAATTCCTTACCAAAATCTTCCTTTGTAAAATTTCAATTTTCTGTTTTAAAATGTAATTGACTTCAAAATGTGATTAGTTTATCAAAATGGAATTTTATATTGAACATGTAGATGATTATTATTAGCATGTAAATGTTCACATTCCTCTTGAACAATAGAAAAGGCTACCAATCATCCCTTGGAGCATTTCCAAATTTTCAAATGTCAGATCTCCAGACATTTTTCATGTGATCATAGGTTATAACCTATTCATAAAGGCATTTTGAATACGCTCTTTAACAAATTTCTATTTTGCCTGATTTGTCCATATCCAAAGCATTTTAAATCTTTTAAATTTTTTATTTTCTTTTGCCAATTATAATAAATTGTGACCATAGTTTCAGCAGCCAATTGCAGTTTTTTACTTTCAGATGAAATATCTTTTCATACTTTCCTATAACTATTAATATTTCCTGTTTCCTGAACTGATAGCATAGCTCATTATAACACACCTTGGCATTTTTATATGCTTGGCCTCTTCAGAAGTTATTCCCTTGCTTCTTCTCCAATTACAGGCTTTCTATTTCTTGTTTTAGTCGAGCGTGGAATTCAATATAAGGCTCATTAGATTTCTGGATAACTTTAATCCATGAACCATCGTTCTCTCCCATGGAGCAAAGATGCTCCAAGCCTATTCCTCTCAGTTATTCATGTATTTCAATGGGGGTATTAGGCTGATGATTAGGGTCATCACAAGCTCTACTTGCTTGTTAACATAGGAAAAATAATTTCCCTCAGCACAGGTTTGATGCTGATTGCATTAATTTGATACCCCTTATTTGCCACTGAAAATATTTAGGCTCCTTTTTGATTCATTTGTCCAATTTATCTTTTAATATAATTTTCTATTCTATCCCAATAACATTGTCCACTACAAAATCATAATACCTCTAAAACAAACATTTATTAATTCTAGTAAATAAGACAGTTATAGGAACATTTCTTGGGCTGAATGCTTAATAGTAATGTTTAAGTGCCTCTCTGTCTCTCTATCATTTTTTCTCATTCATAAAACACCTTTAATATACTCAAAAACCTTATCTTTTAATTTTAGTATTTACCCCTCATGCCTTGAATACATGTCTCATTTCATGCTAAGTAATTGTTTGTCCTGTGATCGTTGTTCAGGCTACTGAGGTTAAAAGATACAGCACGTTCCTGTGTTTCTCTTCCTCTTAATTATACTTCACTTTATATGAGCCTCTCTAAACAGCTTCTTCACTAAATCACCGTGTTCCAGCCAAACATTGGGCACCACTTTACCCTGGCCCACCTGTAAGTCAACAGAGTCCCTAGAGGGGGAGTGAGAATGAGATGGGACACACACAGGAGATAGAGACAATACAAGGATATTATTACTCTTGTAGTTTATCCAGTGCTCAAAAATCCTAGTATGCCTAATAGGAGGAGAAATGAAGCTGAACCCTTATTAAAGGGCGATTTAATGTATTTAACTAATTAAAAGGAACGTTACAATTATTTTCAGAGTGGCTTGCCATGAAATGTGCTATGTAACAATAGATGGCTTGAAATTGGTGGACATACATCTTCCTTAAATAAATTCTCCTTTTATGGTGCTTAGGAGATTCAGAGGAGATTTAGAGAGAACTTCTAATATTTTGAATCTACTAGTGTTTTTTTAAAATTAATTAATATAAATAATTATTTAGAGGATATTTATGTATATGGATTGCATGTAAGAAACAAAAATATGAAGGCTGCTTCATGCAAAGGTAAATGTGCAAACACCAAAAAGCCTTAAAACAAGCAAACACAAATGTTAACAATTTAAATATATTTAATTTTTGTGAAGTCAATTAAACTATAATCATTTCTTTATCATTAAGACATTGTGAGCTATATTACATGTGGGTCTATATAGGAGAGGGTTTCAAATTTACATTTCTTTCTACAATCCACCGACTTCCTTGTATAGCACTCTAATCAAATTAAATATATTATGTATTCTAATTAAATGACTTAAAATATAATTGCATTTTTATTCGTATATAATTCATAAGATTGTATTATATGTAACCTATTTAATTATAATTTGACTGCATAAAAAACCACATGTAAAAACATAAAAAAAATCACAAAGAATCGGAAGCAAGATACACTTGACAGCACAGATTCACAATCAGAAATCTAGACAGGAATAGGGGTCTCCATGTATATAGGTAGATTCCAGGCAAAAGCATCTGCCAGCTAGCTCAACCTGTCACATTTTGCCAGTTTCATTGGCTTTTAACTGGAGGCAAAATGCCGGGTAATAACATTTTATCCTGTGTTCAACTGTTAATTGCTCTGCTGCTTTTCCCAATACAAGCTAAGGAGGGAGACACAGATGACTCATCAGCTCTGGATGAGATCATCAAGTTAGATGCAGTCCTGTGCTTTCTGGTCCTTGTTATGAGATCTCTCTGCTTATTGGTTCCTACATGGCATAAAAAGGACTGCACTGAGGGATTTTGCCAGTGGGGCTTTGACTAAAGTCCTGCTCAAAGCTGGACTTTAGTCAAAGCCTCACTGTAAAAAAACAGCAGAGAAGAAAATTTGTCTCAGAGACCTGCAGGATATGGAAGAAATAGGAAAAGCAAGGTCTTTGTGAGAGGAGTCCCCTGATTCCCTTTACAGTGCAGGAAATGTGCTCAAATCTGAAACCACTGAATCAGCCGTAAAATCCGCTATTCCCAGATTAGCTTTTGATTTCTGAAATATTGATTTTCTTAGCAAGTCTACTCACGACAACACTGAAATGTACTGACCTTATGCCCCATTTGAAGCCTCACTAAGATAATTGCTATGTTGGCAAAAAGCCTCCGTCACCTAGGAATCTGAAATTTTCAAGTGTAAGATTCCGTAATAAATGTTTAGGGACTCTGACATGGCATTTCTGGATGTAATACCAGTAAACTGCAATCGGCAGCGCAGAATCACAATCAGCCGTCAGCAGAGAGAAATAGAAATTTCAGGTAGATAGGCAGGATATAGACCCAAGAATTCAGATACATGATCACCTCCTACTTACCTCATAATGATTTCCCTTTTGAAATTGGATTCTTGTCCTAAGTAAACTACATTATTTCCTGTCATCTACTTTCACTTTCATATTTTTCTGTCGCAGCAAACATTGAGATGGGAGGGAGTAATGAGTCAGCAGCTCTGAAGCAGATCTCCAAGGTAACCACAGGCTTTGTTCTTATTGGTGGAATTGAGATCATTCTCGTCATTTTTCTGGGGAAAAATTGAATGCACACACTCCTTCAGAGGATTCCGAGGCAAGGAGAGCTAATAATATTGTCAGAGTAGTGATCCTTCCTACTCAGGCTCTGGCTATATGCCAGCTCCCAGCTGCCACTCTTTATAGCTGAAATCTGAATGCACATTGGCCCAGACATGGCAGACTGCTCTTGACATCTATATGACAAAAAACCCAGGGTAATTAGCAGTCAGGTACTGGTATATTCCCAGTATTACTGTTTGGAATCCCCTGTTATGTTCTGTGCATCATGTCCATCCCTGCCGCTGAAACCTCTCCTTCTCTTTAAAATTGAGGCACCACCATCTCTGTCTTGAACACTGCAGCAGCCGCCAAGAAATAATTCCCTTAATGTTTTAGTATATGAAAGACCTGACAGGGATACCAGGACTCATTTCTGGTACAAGATATAATTTTTAGAGAAAATTCCATAAGTTTAGATGTCTAACTCTTCTTGATAAGGTAGGGTTTGAACTGCCTCAGCTTAATATGCCAAGTTATGTTGCCTCCCCATGGGTGACCTATCCTTAGGGAGGAATTGATGAGGTGGAGTGTGGGGAGGCAAGCACGGGGAAGAAGAGTTTGTGGAAGAACTTTATTCATAATGTACAATGAGTAAAAAGTAAACAAAAACAAAGTAATTACATAAATCCAATCTTATCAGTGACCCATTAATATTATCTCTTAAATTCATCACTAACACATAAATAGACCAGCAGAGATACTTGCATGTGCATATTTATAAACACACAGCAGTCTGTCTAGAGTCTTATTTTGTCCTGAACTTTATCTACTGAACATCTGCATTGTTCTTTGATCAGATGAGACAAATGTGAAACTACAATATTAGTTGCAAATTAACACTGCTCAGAGTAAAGCATGTGTTGTTGCTTGGCATTTGGAGCTGGCTCCTCACCTTTGTGTCCCTCTGAGATGAGCTTCATGGCTGAGGTATCAGGGAGCCCTGATTATTACTGCACCTCTGGGACATTATTGGGTCCATTCTTACACTGAGTAGCATACAGACCATTGTTAATAAACCTTATAATGTATTTGGATGGAGGAATGCTTAACGGAGTTATGTTCCTGGTAGTCACCAGCACCCAGCTCATAAAACATCTCTTAAAGTGCCATTCCACGGTTTTCCATTTGCATTGATCTTAGCTGAACAAAAACACTTATTCATAAGCCACGTCGATTCAATTTTTTGATTGCTTAGAAACTTTATATATCTATTTTTATTTGTTTTATACTAATTAGGTTCCCCACATCAATATTTCATTCGTAGGTAGAGTTTTGTTCCCCACAAGACAGTTCCTAAGTAACCCAAGAGAAAATTATTATTGTTTCTAAACACTCACCAAATTGCTCAGATTATTATTAGTTAACATGTACATTTTAAATTAGTTATATATCTTATAAGTTCTCTGCCATGTGGATTGCTATATTTTCTCAGTATATCAGTTACATCCACTGCCCAGAGTTTCTCATGATACTGACTCTCCTCTATTTTTACTAAGTACCTTTCCGTCTGTTTCTTCAGGCTAAACTTCTCCTACTTAGACAATATCCAGTCAGAAACTTTCTTAAATGAATCATATATTCACACAATATAAAGGAATATTCTGTATCCTGTTCTTGATTAGTTAATGCCCTCTCTCTTTTGCATTTTATTTATATGCTGCTGTAGGCAAAATATGCAATTTTTGTTATATGCTTGTGAAATTGTATAATTAAATTTATTCATAATAGTGTTGGTATTTATTATTTTAAATGTATTCTTAGTATATAATATCAATGTGTATTCCTTAAATATTTCACTTACTCAGAAGTGATGTCATTCTACATGCTCATGTTTACAGACTGAAGAACAAGAACATGGAATTTAAACATGCCCAGTTGATGCTTAATATCTTACCACTGACTGGGGTATGATCTACAACTGCCTTACAATATGGGATTAATAAACATGCTCATTTTCTTAGTAGGCTTCCACTCACATTCTGTGACATGACATAAGAAAAGAATACAATTACAAAAAGTAAAAACACTGTGACATTGTTTCCAAGAAGATAAAGAAAGCCTAATAAAAAGGAAATATTCCAGTACTCATATTTTTTCTGTCTCCAACTTGAAATTATTCAAAAGCTGAATCACATTTAAGTAACAATATGTTATATGTATAGACTCACTTTTGCTTTTTAATGTATTTTTGATGCTTGTTTATATATGATTTACCTGGTACCTTAAAAAGACATATCACTAACACAGGCAATTTCATTAGGTATTATTTTATTTCATATGAACATATCATAGTTGCATCTTTCTTTATTTATTTTTTTGTTCCCACTATATCTAAACTTTACTAGATAGTATTCCAGAGAATGGGTTTACTAAAATCAGGACATGCACGATGAATCAATCCTGGTCCCTCTGGCCTGGACCCACAGTCTGCCCGAGTCATACAGCTCTTCCTCACATTCAAAGTGCTTAGTTTGTTAGTATTCTCGTTCCCTCACTGTCAGCCAGAATTCCTAGGCTACCATCACCTCAGGTAAGCTGTTTCAGTGGGTATTCCCATCACGACCTTGATCTCTTGCATGTTTTCTTACTATTCCCATTATTCAACTGGGCTTTAGGAACTCAGCCATGTGATCAACTGTGGAGCTCTACACCTGCTTCTATAATTTGCTGGATTTAGGTTCTATGATGACATTTAAGATAGTCATCAATCTGGCAACAAGGCTAAAACTGTTAAAGTACCATCTCCACTATTACTTAGGGTCTAAGTTGTGGCCATCCTTGTGAATTCCTCCAATTCCAGGGTTTAGCTATTCCCATAACATTCCAGTCAATGAATTTAACTTTATCCTTGCTTGCTGTCTCATTCCCTTCACAAAACATACAATTCTATTACTTACAGTTCTTTCCTCTTCATTACTGTCTTTGTCCTTACTTTCTGTTTTCCCTTTTCACTGCATCCATATTTTCCCAATTTTTTCATGATATTTGTCTTTTTCCTCTTCCCAGGGTTATCAATTTTTCCCTTAATATTCCCCTTATTACTTAACTTATCTGTGATCCTGGGCTATAGGTTCCCTATTCTATGCTTTATAGTTGTTTTTCACCTATGATTAACTACAAGCCATCCTCATCATTCTGGTCTAGTTTACCTCACTTTGAATTGATTTTTATATTTTCATTCATTTGCCAGCAAATTTCAAGAAATCTTTGTTTTTACTGCTGAATAGTTCTTTATTGTGTAAATGTGACCGCATTTTTTAAAAATCTATTATTGGTCAAAGAGCCTGAATTTACTTCCATATTGCTCTTATTACATTATATGTTTAAGGATTATAGAAGAATAACCCAGACATTTTTCCACTCTTTGGCCTTATTATCTACAATTAAGAAAAGATAATTTAACATTGTTATTTACAGAGGACCATATCATATTTGGTGTGTAAGTAGAATACAATGATCTTTAGAGTGGTTAACTGTGTGGTCTGTGATTTATACTCATTCTCTTAATTTTTATTTCTTCGCGGTTACATTGAAAACTGAGACAGTCATTTGGTGATTTTCAAACCTAGAATTCATTTTTAGAATATTTGTCTTCTAAATCTTGGTTTTGTTCAATTCCAGGTCATTAGAGAAGTGTGGCAACAGGAAGTTTAGTGAATACTCATGGCCAGCTAGGCTAGAATAGCACGTTTCATTCCCAGGAGGACACCTATCTCAACTGCACAAGGTTTGATACATATCTGCATCAATCCACTATTGATTAATATGTAAGCACTTTTACCCTAATGAATTTTCAACAACTGTAACTAAATGTTTAATTCTTAAAGTATATGCAGTGCCCAAAAATGCACTATGCATAGAGGACAAACTGTAAAGCGAAACCCTTATTAGAGTAGCTATATGTAGTACTTAGCTACTTGAGAAAGAAATTTAGAATTATTATCAGCATAGCTTGCCATGTAGGACACTCATGTACCAATAGATGGTTTCTAATTAATGGACATACAACTTCCTTAAATATACTCTGTATACATTGAAGATAGAAAAATATGGTTCAAATTTAATAATAATTATGAAATTTTGAGAGGAATTCTAGTATTTGGAATCTAGTGGCTTTTTAAAACAAATACAAAGAAACTTATAATAGGAAAATATTTTAGGTATATATTAATTATATTTGATAAGAAACATTATGAGAGTTGCTTCTTGTAAAGGTGGGGGTGCAAATTCCTATAAGGACTTTAAACAGGCAAACATTAATGTTAAGAATATATATATTTCCAGAAATGAAACAACTTGAATTTGTTTTTTTTATCATTAAGACACAGTGGGATAATTTATTACAGTCAGGTCTATTTCAAGGGGGCTTGAAATCAATATTTCTTTCTACAATCCTTCCATCTCCTTATACAATAATCTAATGGACCTAAATATATCATGTATTGTAATTCAACTACATGAACCATTGTAATCATATAGTTATATATTACATCTACATTTAGTATAAAACATAAATAATTATATTTCAACTGCATAAACATACACATAAAAACAGACAAAAACTGATCACAAAGAATAAGAAGCCAGATGCACTAAACAGCGCGAAGTCACAATCAAAAAAACCAATGATAGGAAAGGAGGTTTTCATGTATACAGCTAGAATCTAGGCAAAAGCAGCTGCAATGTTGCTGTGGCAACCAGTCTTAATTAGGCAGGTTTGTCTGTTGTTGACTGGAGGCAAAACAAAGGGTAAATTATATTTTATCCTGTGTCCCCTTTAAATGGCTCTGCTTCTTTTTACAACAAACAGGGAGGAGGGAGACAGAGATGAATCATCAGCTCTGGATGAGATCACGATGTAAAATGCAGTCCTGTGCTTTCAGGTTTGAGAGCTCTCTTCTTATTGGTTCCTAGATAACATAAAAAGGTCTGCACTGAGGGATTTTGCCAGCCAGTCTCCTGGCTAAAGTCCAGCGTTTAGCTGGAATTTAGTCAGGAGATTGGCTATACACAAACTCAGAAAGAAAATCTGTTCCAGAGACCTGCAGGAGACATAAGCAATAGATACCTAGTAAAAGCAAAGAATTTCTGGGATTCCCCGTGCTTCTGCTAAGAGTCACCTGTTCCTGCTTGCAGTGCAGGAAATGTGCTCTAGTCTCCGAAGTCACTGATTAAGCCATAATATCTGTGATTTTATGATTAACCTTTGATTATTCATTTTCTGTAATCAAATTTTTGTTTGGGCGTCAATACCTGAGAGAAACTGGGAATGTACTGATCATATGCACAATTGGAGGACCCCCCCTATGATAATTGCTTTATCGGGGAATAGCTTCAGGCATCTCGCATACTGAAATTTTCAAGTGGCAGATTCCACAATCAGTGTTTTTTAGGGAGTATGACATGGCATTTCTGAATGTGATACCAGTAAGCTGCAATTGGCAGCGAAGAATAATAATCAGCCATCCCCAGGAAGATATGTTTGATTCAGGAAGATAGGCAGATTACAGACCCAAGAAGTGGGATATATAATCAATTCCTAATTACCTTGCAATGGTTTCCTCTTTGATAATTGGATTCTGGTCTGAGATAAACTGCATTTTTTCCTGTCATCCACTTTCACTTTTATTTTTTCTGCCGGACCACACCTTGAGAAGGGAGGGAGAAAGGAGTCAACAGCTCTGATGGATATCGCCAAGGTTACCACAGGATTTGTTCCTATTGTTGAAATGGAGATCATTTTCTTCCTCATTGGTTCATGTTCCAGAAACAATTTTAAAGCACAGACTCCAGATGTTTGAGGCAAGGAGAGCTAATAACCCTTTCAACATAGCAGGTCCTTTCTAGTCATGCTGTGGCTATATTCCATTTCTAGCTGCTGTCCCTATGACCAAAACCCAAATGAATAGCAATAAGTAGCAGTGAATGTTGAATTATCACACATCAGCCCTTAGGCATGTGTTGGCGTCACCAGAGATGGTCCCATTGAATGTCACAAATGTGGGTGTTGAATGTCTAAGGGAATGAGTTGTGAGATGAGATATAGACATTATCTGGGTTACTTGGAAACATAGCAGAAACATTCTTGAAAGAAAGACAGCATTTGACAGAGTGATATTGTGGCCAGGCTTAAGGACAGCTAGAAATTTCATGGAAGGTATTCATCATAAAGCAATCTAGAGGAAGTCAAGTTTATGCCTTGTGTAGATAAATATCTATCGCAACTTTTCTCTATGCTGTCCCATTTTACATGAACTGCCTAGCAATAACCACGTCCTTAGTCCATTGTAGGAAACAAGAGATGAAGAGCTGAAGTTTTGTACAATTAGGACCTATGTAGAAAATAAGTAGATATTCAAGAAGTAGAGCCCTAAAGTAATTCCGTTGTAGATTGAGTATCTTAAAGGTAGAGAAGGTAGTAATATTTTTATATCTCATCTGAATACACAAGCTTATGGTATAGCTGTAGGTATTCTTAAGGTTATTCTCTGTACTAATATAATAAATATGTCTAAGATTTATAAAACCCAAACTACATAGAAAAACTAGAGATAATTTGAGTGATATAAGCATCATGTGCAAATGTAAATAAAGGAAGAGGAGAGCAGCCATATCCAAATCTCTCAATTCATGCATTGGTGGGAGAAATAAGGAGTTCCATTGGTGAGATCTAGGTAATGGGTGTTGATAGACTCAGGGAAAATTAATTGAATTTCATGTCCTATCAAATGAAGCATCATATTTTCATTTGCCTATAAGATTTATCTGTCAGAGATTAAATGGTGACAATACATCAGAACTATACATCCTCTGAAAGAACATGCCTATATAAAAATAAGTTTGTAATTAGCCTTGAATATTCACACACTTTCTCATAACAGGTGACAATCTTCAAGACTCTGTAAAGAAAGCTTTTGTTTCATGCTACTTTCAGGATCAACTATGATTCTTTCTGGTTTTCTGGCTATAAAGCATTTAACTGGCATTTGTGAGCAGATTGCTACAACTTACTTAATGACAACACAGACCTGGTGAGACCCAAGCCTGGATCTGGGTCTGAGATTAAGTATCTCAGAGGCAGTAAACATTTCTTAGCCATGTTGGACTGGGAGCAACCGACAGGTAAGATGGAAGAGTATGTCTTAGTCATTCCTACTTAGCATTTAAAAAAGCTTCACATCAGAAAACAGTTACAGATATAACAAGAACCAACTAGTTTAAAAAAAAAAACCTATGTCTTCAAATAGTCAATAAATTGTCATAGATTAAATAAGTAAAGAAAAACAAGCCATGTAAGATGGAAAATACACAGAAAGACTGGATTAGGTCTATTATTGTGTTTTATTTAAATTTTGACTGTGAAAGAGATAAGTACAGAAAGACATTTCATAGTATGTGCTGCTAATCTAAACCAAACTATATGCTTTAAAGGTGTATTTACTTCAAAATTTGGTTCTAGGTAAAAATATGTTGTTTTGGAAAAAAAGGTCCTACTTCCTTTCCAGAGAGAATGAAAACCTGTGGATTTCTCAAGACTAATGTGATTCAATAGAAAAAGATGCACTTAAAGGTCTAAATAAACTCCTCCAACTAGTTTTGCCTAATAAACAGCAGGACTAAGTTATGAAAGAATCATGACCAAATTCAAAAATATTTTTATAAAATTTAAAGAGTGATATGCTATAGAGATATGCATTGGTATAGATTTTGGTATATTAATATAAATTTAAGATCAATTTTGTTACATATAATATATATGTATATATATATATTTCTGCTCTTGGTTAAGGTATTATATTGTGCAGCTAGATTAAAATATAATGTATAATTTTGAAATATGGATTAATATAGAGTCACCTATATTAGTCAAGTTTGTAGTCCGGTTAGTTAGCTTTTCTAGAGTTACAGAGATATATTTCAGATGGATAGGTATAATTCAAGCTTCTCAAAGACTAACAGAATATCGTATTTAAAATGTTTTCAAAACTTAGGCCGTTTCATAACAATGAGACACATACTCATCTACTCCTGATAGCACCAATACTGTTTTGTTATATGCAATTTTAGTATGTTAAAGTTAAATCTTTCTCTTTTATTTAGAAAGAAAAGGGAAGGTCATTTGGGAGGTGATGCATTCACTGAACATCTTTTATTACCATTTGTTAATAAGGAAGCTGACTCAACCACTGTCTAAGCATAGTAAAGAAAGGATGAAAGAGATATATAAAAAAAGTAGGAGGAGTCACTGAGAAGTCATGAAGCTCTGCCAGAAACAGATGCCTTTCCTGGAGTCTGCTGAAATTTACCAGTAAGCCATGACCTCATGGTAATACAAAGATTAATGGAGATGAGTGATTTTAGGATATAAAAGCTAGCTAGAAATACTCTTAAGCTATTGGCCCGACAATATTGTAAATAATCGAGTTTCTGAATGGTTATTTTAAGTCAGGGCATTAAGAAACAAGCCATCAGCCTCTGACAACAGATCTATTCCTAACGATAAGCTGTCTTCAAATGATATATCATTTCCTTTAGCGATATAAATTGAATCTACAAATGGCGTGAAGTGTTTTTAAGTCCAAGAATAATGCTAAGCAGTATGTATTAATCGGGTGTAATTAGAAGAAACACTGCAAATTTAGCTCTTTGAACAACTGTGTATGAGTAATATTGGTATAAAATCATGTTTTTATGGCATTTAAAGCTATTGTGTAACACACTAGTGCCTATTAACCAGCATGCTTACCCTCAACATTACAATGCTGTTGCTTTCTCATGAAGACATCATTTGTGAGAATATTTTATCTTTTCTTGTTATGGTCATACTTGAAATTTTGGAATTTCCCTCACTAAGTTATTTTTGTATTCCCCCATTATTTTCTTTTTCTATGCTTTCTTCCTGTTCGGTTATTTTAAAATCAAGCACTCCAAAAGAAAGACACAGATCTCTTCTGAAATGTAAGTAGTGATGATGAAAAGCTATATGCTAAACCCCAGAGTGAAGAAACTCCTGTGATGTATGACATTTCTTATTCTGATCTGGTTGACATTGGGCATGTGATCTCTAACAAGATGCCTGATTCCAAGATGCTGGCTTCTTTAAAGGGGAGTCAAGTTCTAAAAAAGGGCAGATATATCTAAGAAAGAGAACATTTTGCAAATTGCAATGCAGGAGGTTCGCATTTTTTTTTCTTTGATCATGCTTGTCCAGTTCAGACATCGTGAATATTTTCAGTGTCAAGACATGGGGAGTTATTTGCACAAAGGCCAGTTTTGTCAAACTCCAATTGGATATCTTCAGTGCCACACATGATCTGGGTCATAGACTGGTGCTGCCAGGTGGATGAATGTCTTTTATCCCTTATGTTCCCCTTTGTTACTTAGCTTGTCTAAGGTCATGGGCTTTCGGTTTCCTACGCTTTGCATTATTTGGTGTTCACCGATGATTTCTACAAACCATCTTCATCATTCTGGTCTGTGTTAACTCATTCAGGTTGGAGTTTTGTAGTTTCATTCTTTTCCCTGAAATTTGAAGATGTCATTGTCTTTTGCCACTGAGGAGTACCCCATTAGTTAAATATATCCAAATTCTTTATCTAGTTTTTTTTTGATGGGCATGGATTTACCTCCATGCTGTTCTATTTATACTATATGAATATGGATGATAGTGGTAGAACCCAGATATTTGCCCATTTTGTCACTTTATCATCTACTATTCAGAAAAGATAATTTAACGTTGGTGTTTACAGAACCATATCAAACTCACAGAGTTTGATATGTTTCATGATCTTTAGAGTAGTAAGTAGTGTAGTCTGTGAGTTATAGTTTTTTTTTTCTTATTTTTTTTCTTTTTTGGTTACATTGTAACCTGAAACAGTCAACAACATGTTCATTTGTAAATTAAGAAACCTAGTAGACATTTTCACAATACTTATTTTCTAAAGCAGTTGTGCTGCTATTTCCAATTCCAGAATATTAGAGAAGTGTGGAAAGAGGAAGTTCTCAGAGTATTCATGGCCAGCTAGGCTAGAATGACACATTTCAGTCTAAGGAGAAATCCAATCTCATGTCCTCTAGTTTTAATAAATATCTGCACTTAACCAGTATTTGATTAATATAAAATAACTTTTGCCCCAATGAAATTTCAAAAATTGGAACTAAATACATTATTCTTGTACTTTATCCAGTGCTCAAAAATCTTAATATGCCTATGGCAGGACAAATGAAGCTGAACCCTTATTAAAGGGGCAATTTAATGTATTTAAATAATTGGAAAGGAAAGTTATAATTATTTTCAAAGTGGCTCTCTATAAAATGTCCTATGTAACAATAGATGGCTTGAAATTGGTTGACATACATTTACTTAAATAAATTCTCCTTATATTGTATATTATATAATATATGTCTTATATATGTATATATATATATTCGTTTTAAAGGAGCTTAGGAGATTTAGAGAGAACTTTTAATATTTAAAATCTAGTTGTTTTTTAATAAATGATTATAAATTATTTAGAGAATACTTATGTATATTGATTTCATGTAAGAAAAATATGAATGTTGCTTCATGCAAAGGTAACGGTGCAAGCATCAATAAGCCTTAAAACAAGCAAACACCAATAAGCCTTAAAACAAGCAAACACAAATATTAACAATTTAAATATATTTAATTTTTTCTGAAATCAATTAAACTGAAATCATTTCTTCATCATTAAGACATTGTGAGCTAAAATATTATAGTTGCGTCTATGTGGGCAAGGGTTTAAAATCTACTTTTCTTTCTAAATTCCACCCACTTCTTTCTATAGCACTCTAATCAATTTCATATATTATTTATTCTAATAAAACTACATGAAAAATATAATTGCATTTTTTGTATGTAATTTATAATATCATAAAATGTAACCTATTTAATTATAATTTGACTTCATAAAAAACACACGTAAAATCAGAGAAATATATCACAAAATTCAGGAGCAGGATACACTTGACAGCACAGATTCATAGTCAAAAATCTGCAGACAGGAATGGAGGCTTCGATGTATATAGGTAGATTCCAGGCAAAAGCAGCTGCCAGCTGGCTCAACCTGTCACATTTTGGCAGTTTCATTGGCTGTTAACTGGAGGCAAAATGTCGGGTAATTATATTTTATCCTGTGTTCCCCTGTCATTTGCTGTGCTATTTTTCCCAATACAAAGTAAGGAGGGAGACACAGATGACTCATCAGCTCTGGATGAGATCATCAAGTTTGATGCAGTCCTGTGCTTTCCGGTCCTTGTTATGAGATCTCTCTCCTTATTGGTTCCTACATGCCATAAAAAGGTCTGCACTGAGGGATTTTGCCAGTGGGGCTTTGACTAAAGTCCTGCTCAAAGCTGGACTTTAGTCAAAGCCTCACTGTAAACAACCCCAGAGAAGAAAATGTGTCTCAGAGACCTGCAGGATACGGAAGCAATTGGAAAAGCAAGGAATTTGTGAGAGCCACCTGATTCTGTTTGCAGTGCAGGCAATGTGCTAGTGACCAAAGACACTGATCGGCACTAAAATCTGCGATTCCAAGGTTAGCTTTAAATTGTTTCTATTCTGAAATGATGATTTTCTTAGCAAGTCTATTCATGACAACGCTGAAATGTACTGACATTATGAGCCATTGGAAGCCTTGCTATGGCAATCACTATGTTGGCAAATAGCCTCAGGCGCCAGGCAATCTGAAAATTTCAGGTGTTAGATTCTGCAATACGTGCTTAGGGACTCTGACATCGCATTTCTGAAAGTGATACCAGTTAGCCACAATCAAGGGTCACAATCAGCCGTCAGCAGGGAGGAATGGAAATTTCAGGTAGATAGGCAGGATACACACCCAAGAATTCAGATACGTGATCACCTCCTACTTACCTCATAATGATTTCGCTTTTGATAATTGGATTCTGGTCCTATGTAAACTAAATCATTTACTGCCATCTACTTTCACTTTCATATTTTTCTGTCGCAGCAAACATTGAGATGGGAGGTAGAAATGTGTCAGCAGTTCTGACGCAGATCTCCAAGGTTACCACAGGCTTTGTTCCTATTGGTGAAATTGAGATGATTCTCGTCATTGTTCCGGGGAAAATTTGAATGCACACAATCCTTCAGGGCTTTCAGAGGCAAGGAGAACTAATAATATTGTTAGCATACTGGGTCCTTCCCAGTCAGGCTCTGGCTATATGCCAGCTCCCAGATGCAAATATTTATAACTAAAATTCGAATGTACATTGGTCCAGACTCGTCAGACTGCTCTTAACATCTATATGACTAAAAAAACCAGGGTAATTAGCAGTCAGGTACTGGTATATTCCCAGTATTACTGTTTGGAGTCACCTGTTATGGTCTTTGCATCATGTCCATCCCTGCTTCTGAAACCTCTCCTTCTCTTTAAAGTTGTGGCACCACTATCTCTGTCTTGAACACAGCAGCATCTGCAAAGAAATATTTCACTTAATGTTTTAGTGTGACAGCTTCAAGGAGAGTCATGCCCTTTCCTCTTTTCTCTGAGTTTCATTGTGAAAATTGGTGTGACATTGTAGATTTTTTCATGAAAACAGAATCGTTGATAAATATTATGCAGTAACATATGAAAGCACTACCTCCCTGAAACCAAAGACTAGGGATTAGAATAAGGTATAGAAGAGGAAACCTACTTCTTATCATTCTATTGCTTTTAAGGTTCCTACAGTATCAAATTTGCTGTTTTTATTGACCTAGTCTTTGTGTATTTGCATATAAATACTCTGGTACATGATACTTTCTCACTTTCCCCATTCCAAATTAGGAAATCAAACAGCATGAGCTTTTTGGAAATCCTATGTTTATTGAAGATGGCAGTGAGATAGTACATACTTCCCTTGAAAATAATTAACAAAATAGATATTTTGTTATTGTTTATCTTGTTTTATATGCTTTGAAAAAGTGCAGAACTTATCTTATACATTCATCTCAGACTCTATATGTGTATGGCTGCTAGTAATGATGAGACTGGGAAACAATGATACTTAAGAATCAAGAGCCTCCATTTCAATCTCTTACAATATTTCTGCCATCTTTAAAATATACGTGTATGAAACTTCCAAGGACGTTTTAAAGACATGAAACACCATGACATAGGACCACACAGGATCTTAGTTTCTAAAGAAAGAACTTCCCCTCACACCATTATGTTATTTTCCAATAGTGCCAAAGGAAGATGTCTGTTGAGGATCAAATGATGCTCAGATATATGAGCATATCAATATATCATTAGAGTCTGGAAGAATAAAATATATTTTTATGTTAGTCTGTCATCATTGTCGATTTAGATTCCTAGCCATTAAGGCTCTTTGAGTTATTTCTTTCATCATAGAGTCTTAATAACAATATTTACTTGATTTCTTGATATATATGACAAAGTCTGGGAGAATAAAATGTATTATTTTTATCTTAGTCTGTCATCATTGTAGATTTAGATTCCTAGCCATTAAGGTTGTTTGAGTTATGTCTTTCATCATAGAGTCTTAATAACAATATATACTTGATTTCTTGATTTTTTAACCACTATGACAAATATATATAAAGACTTCTTCCTATTTTCTCTTTTCATGGATGTAGCTAATAAGAGTGAAGAATTTTGGTCATGTTAATTTCAGGATCAATCTTCAATTAGAGCCCAAGTAGGTAATCCTATTTAATTTACAAATAATAGCAGAAGTATTGACATTCTATGACGATGTTAAGTATGTAGAAACTTCCAGAACAGGTTCTTCCAACATATTGGCAGTTGTAAGCATATTTTTGAAATGGTCTGTGAATCTCTAGTTTTGGCTTATTTTCATGTCTTTGGCCAATAAACAAATGAAATTACACACTACTTGAATCTCACTTAGAAAATCTGATGTACCCCTCATAGTATAAGGTGTTCAATTTTACAATCTATCTCCTAATATACTATGAAACATCTCAATTATTTTCTAATATTTATATAATTCTATGTATATGTACATATATGATATTGAGTATGCATAATTATATATATGCATACATATTATGAATGTGTACACTTTCTTAACATGGTTTAGAATTTCATACATGAGTACTGTATTTATGTTATTGCAAGCTCATTCTTCCTCCTTTAAAATAATATCTGAAAGTGTCAAAATAATTCCTATACATAATAAAATTATTATATTTTATTGTGTAGTACAATTGTATACATCAGTATTCCTACTGACTAAACACTCATGTGATTTTGTATAAATAATTTACCATTAACCTTTTCTAATTTAAGCCTATCAATATAACTATACAATAGAAAAATAATCCTTTCTCTCATAGCCTCCAATATTTGTCCGTGGCTTTTCTGCTAATTGTGTTACTTTTAGAGAGTTTTTCACCTTTTTTTGACATTACAATAGGGGATGTTATTATGTTAATCATTTTTTCTTTGTTTTAGTTAATTTTAATTGACATTTAAGATTTCTAAAGTTTTGTTCTTTAATACCTTAAATTTATCTCATTTATATTTGTTCTTGAAGTTATAGCTAATGCTTTTTGTGCATCTATGGATAATATATTTAGGGCAGAGTTAGAAATTATATTCATCAGAAAAGTTGCAGATGAAATTGCTGATTGTGCTCTCATTATCTTGCTAACAATATAGAGTAGGCTAGATTGGTGCAATTGGCATATTTTTCTTTCTGTCAATTATAGAGCTACAGTTCTAAATAATCTAAGAGTAAAAATTTAGACATGTCTATGCATATGTAACCAGTAATACCCTCTGAAGATGAATTTTGAAAAATTATGACATTTGAATTAGCTGAAGAAATCATACAATTTACCTTGATAGGTTGTTTTCCTGTTAGTTGTGGGTTTGACCTTAACATATTAGAATGATTATAAGTAGAAATTATAGATATATTAATGGTTTAAGAGACTGGTTCTCAGGTTCTAATAGTGTAAAATATTGATTAAATACCTTATTTTTAAGATGAACAGTAAAACTTAATTTTATTAATTTTTTGTAGATTGTATGGGTGTCTCCTGAATGTTGCTCTTCTTTGAAATATGTGTGGATTATATGAAAACAGCAAAGACATTGTAGTTATCCCTTGGTGTTAGTTCAGGAGTCAGACAACAATTGTTGAATCTGTAAGAATGCAAAATATACAATCAGAGGAAAGAAAGTAGTAGAGTAGTTAGTTACATATAAAAGTATCAGTGTCTACTCTAAATAATATCCCTTAGCTTATTTTCTGCTTTTATGTTCAAAAAATTCACAGACTCATGGAGGGCTCTGTCCATGAACTAGTAATTTGAAATATTAACAACTGGATCTATTTCTTATATATACGTGTGAAAAAAAAACTGGTACACAAACATGATCATGTTGTCCCAGGACATTAAGCATATACAGTAAATGCAGGAGCTTTGAGATTTACTTGCCTGTTTTCATACCACATATAGCAAATTTCAAGACTGTGGCATATTATTATACATTATGTATATGTACACTTGTATTATTTAATTTAAATACTGTAAGTTTGCATATGTGATTGTTTCATTGCAAAATCCAGATAATGGTCTACTGTATTAAGAGGAACATTATGAATTCATAAATTATCAGAATGGCTTGTATTATTTACAGAAATGATGAAGGAGGAAAGCTAGATTTTCACAGGTATGCTAACTTTGAAGTGATTCCCATGTGCTAGAAGAATGCCCCATATACAAACACACAAACACACATGCACACTAACACACACACACACACACACACACACACACACACTCACACACATTTTCCCTGAAGTCAGATGTCACTGAAAAGAGAGAACAGATAAATGACCTGAGAATGGGGTACTGATATTGGAGATAATAGGCAAAATCTAGAGAAAGAATTGTGGAAAATTTTATCAAAATTTGAATGTTAATATAAAAATACCTTAAAACATTTCAAAAATATTAATTGAAACTATTATTCTGAAATCAATGTCAAAACATCTACACATATGTAAAAGACTAATACAAGCATGCAGACAATTGTGAAATTTAGAAAATAATACATATATTGTATTTTTTCCAAATAAAAACATCAAATTGCTGCTAAATTATCATGACATTGTTGATACAATTTTGTAATTTTTCCATGTTCAGACTGGGTTTTAAATTTCCTCTTTAGAAAATATCTTTATTATTACATTATTTTTATGTAAAATACGTACATATTGTTGTAGGAGGTCCTTCTGTTTATGTGTTGCTTTCACTGGTTAATGAATTAAAAAAAAAAAAACTGCCTAGGCCGTTTGATAGGGGACAACTTAGGTAGAAAGGGAAAAACAGAACTGAATGCAGGAAGAAAAAAAGCAGAGGAGCTGCCATGGAGCCACCAGAGTCAGACATGCTGATTCCTTCCCCGTAAGCCACCGCCATGTAAGAATGTACAGATTGATAAAAATGGGTTAAATTAAGATGTGATAGTTAGTCAATAAGAGGCTAGAGCAAATGGGTTAAGTAGTATTTTAATTAATATAATTTCTGTTTTGTTATTTCCTGCTAAGCAAGCAGAATGGCTGGGATGAACAAGCACCCTTTCCCAGTAATAATTGGTGCTCAGCATGACCAACTAAAGCAATAAAATATATGAACTACAAAAGATCTGAATAAATACAACTGCTTATTTAAATTATGTTTTTGCAAATAGAAATGCATACATAAAAACTCACACACTATACACATTGTGGCAATTATGTGTATCCATTTTTATAATCAGAGTTTCAAAAACACAATTTCAGTAATCTCAATCTATTCCCACTTGGTGAGCATTAGCAGCTGCAATGTCATGTAGTCTGGTAATTTCTGATCAATCCACTACACCAAACTTTAGGAAGCTATTGTGGTTCATTTTATACCTGTAAACACACACACATACACACATGCATGCATAGGCACGCTCTTAATCCTATATTATAACAGGGTTTTGTCCTTTCCATAATCCATTGCAATGGTCTTTCCATTTTGCTTTAGACAAAAGTCTCTTCTACAACCTCATGCCAAAATCTGTGCAGGGGACAATGCTTGTATGGAAGCCACATTTACAAAATTTAGAATAAAAAAGGTAAGATGCATTATTTGGTGTCTCTGGATAACTCTCGTTGAATTATTTATTGAAATTGTGTATTCAAGAAGCCAGGGGAAATGCTCACCTGAGTCAGCACTTGACTAGCAGCATCAATATAAGAACTGGGGAAAATAGGGTCACTTTTCTTTTTACTAATATCACTCAAGAGTTTCCGAAGACAATATTAAAATAGGCACAGTCACTAAATATCTACCCATCATTTTTGAAATTCCTTCAAAGTTAGCAAGCTATCCATCCTAATTTGTAATTACTGAGTTTTAATTTCTTTAGAACAAGATATATGTCCTGAAAATGGAAAGGTGACTGCGTTTGTATTTTCTGTGGCGAATTAACTACCCATGGGCAAAACTCTGTTGAAGTTGTCCAATTGTTGCACGCAAATTCCTTCATTTTTCATGGACAAACAAGATCCACAATGGATAATGTAAACTTGATGAAAATATTTTGAGTATTTTGTATTGCATGAGCCACACATATCTGGCATAATATTACACTGTTTGCCTTTACCTGAAGCAACATTTATCAATGATATCTCCTAATTTGTTCCATTAAATGGCTGATGGAACACTACATGAAAATCTTTGAAAATATTTTGGTACTAAAGGGATGGTAAAAGCAATCTATAAAATCTAAAATATTTTATAGGGATCATTTGGACCATACCTTAATGAGCAGGTAAGCCAGTCTAGTCTCTAAAGCTCATCCTAGGTGCACAGTCTCATTATCTATTTAAAATTCTTGTATCAGTTTCCATTTTCCAGATTTCTATGTTGTGAGAGAACATATTTACCTGTTCACCACTGCAAAGCAACAGCCATAACTAGTCCTTGGGTGTATGAGTTTAAATTTCCTCAACAATTTTGTATGTTATCAGAAATGACACCTTTTTTTCTAAAAGATGTCAAAGCAGCCTGATAAATTATGTTAGTACTCTCATATGCTAGCTGTTTAATTATCAAATATCTACACTCTGAATCCCTAATTATTCTTATTGATCCCTGCATCAGCATGAAGACAAAATCCTGGAACAACTCAACAGGTCCCTGTATTAGTTAAGGTAAGTCCTCTGTAGGCTCTCCTAAAGAAAGAAATTTATTCCAAGAACAACTTGGGCCAGATTACTAACAGCTGTGGCCTGACTTTGTTTTGAAAACTCAGTTTTCCTTGTCAGGTAAACTTTTCCTGTCAGGCAAGCTTTGGCCATCTCTTTCCAATCTCTGGAGTATAACTTCTAAATCCATATACTCTAGCAGCGTGTGTAAAAGGAGAAAATTGGTCATACTGAGCTTAGGTTGCTTTTAATACTTTACCTTGTTTTAATGGTGTCAGCCCTTGTTGTCTGAGTAGATTTCCCTGATCATCTCATTGCTCTATTCTAGAAATACTTGAAATTCCTGAACATCTTCACATCGGCTCACTCCTTCTCTGGAAACTAGCTTGTACGAAAAATGCACAACAAAAGTTGGGTGTTTGCAGAGAGTCTTTTTTCAGTTTTAATCATTTAAGGGGAGCTATCCCTGCTGTTAGGGGTAGAAAACCTAACTGTCCCTTATAAGCACCCACAAATGAAGTAATTTGTGCTGACAGAAGCAGACATGTTTCTCTGTTGTTAAAATTGTAAGTTCTTAAATTTTTTAAAAAACTAAATACATATATATTTGAAGAAATCTATACACTTGTTTCTCAGAGCATACAGGTAAATAGAAATAAAAATGAGGAGGGACATGGAGAAAACATTGAGCGCAATCTGCAAACTCAATTTCCCAGATTCAGTGAGAAGCAGAGGTATCTAAACAGAAAGCAAATAGCCAGTTCTTTTAATCATAAAATTTATTATATACCCAGACACAGAGAAACCTTTTAAATGCAATATTTTTTAGGTCTTTGAAGTGTTGAAGATTATCTATCTAACTGAATTATAACTCTGTATATCTAGAAAAATTAAATAATGTTACTCAGATTTTGAGTATTATTGATGACTATCTATTAATCTATATTTCTTTTATTTAATTTATTTTTTTAACAAAAAATCCTGCCTCCTCCCCG